TGATATGTTGATAAGATTGGTACGTAATTCACCATAACTATATACAGTATGCTGTACATGGTGCTGTAGCGTACATTATTATAATTCAGTATAAAAGCTCACAGGTACCATAAGGCATTCTCTGTTTGGTTCATTGTCTAATACTATCAAACCATTTCCTACATTGCCAAACAGAGGAACATATGTTAAGCAGATATGTTATTTCCTCTCGAGCTTTAACATCATTTGCTGCCTTTGGTTTATTTGAGGTAGCATATATTTGCTCATGGCGAACCTGTACTTACTGCACAAGGGCACCAGTTTCCTCTTGGGGGGTGCTTTGGTGGCAGTTTGGAATTGGAAATGTTCTGTATCATCACAACCATCACAGATGTGACAGCAGCTTTATGATCATCAAAACTGGATAACTGAAGAGTGGAAAAATGCTTCACTTCTAATATAGGTTTCAAACTAAATGCAAATAATATGAATCCATGGATCTTATCTGGTGTCAACAGTAAAAACTAGTGGTGGTGTAATTCGAGTAGTATATGTTTTCTAGCCTCAATAATTCCTTCCTCAACCCACAGTTCTACATCTACATGTTAATTCACATAGTATGGTTACTAGTTCATAGCTGCACCTCAGTGGCTAGATGTTTTGAATAATAAGCAAATAAGGATATTGATGTTCCTCTACACTTAAGTGTCTTTTGATGAATAAAAATCAAATTATGATACTGACAGCTTTTTTATGTTTGTGAATTTGCAGAAAGCTTTAACAGCAAGCTTTTCCTAACAATAAAAGGAAATTCTAATCCTCATTTACTACTACTACAAACCTGTTGTGCGCAGGCAGCCAGGCACACACAGTAGAACGATGGTCTTATGAGGCTTGTGAGGCTCTGTAAGACTGTCTTGACTCAACAATGTGGGATGTACTTGGTGATGCTCATGGGGACGACATTGACAGTCTCAACCTCTGTATAATGGACTATATCAACTTCTGTGTGGAGAATGCCATACTCACCAAGACTATTAACAAACCTTGGATGACCTCTGACATAGAGGCTCTCGTAAAGCAAAAAAAATGTTTTGCGTCAGGAAATAAGGAGGAGCTGAGGCAGAAGATCGGGGAGGGGAAAAACAGCTACAGGAGAAAGATGGAGAACCAGCTGCTGCAGAACAACACCAGGGGAATCTGGAAAGGCCTTAAAACCATTTTGGGCTACAAGGAACGTCAAAACCCCAGCCTATGGGGGACTCAAAGTGGGAATGACCAACCATCAACCATCAACCATCTCTAACAGAGCAACTTCCTGGTTTACTGTAGCTCCTTTTTTGATATCTGGGACTTTTTTATTGCGTTGTCTCTGTGTTCCCAGAACAGTGAGTACATGTTATCAGAATTGGCAGAAGTAATGGCCAAAATAAAGTTGTAAAAGTTGTAAAAAATATTTTTTCTTTAGCATGACCAAGTAGTTTGGCATGATGCTGTCCTGCTGATTGGGCTGCCAAATTTAGAGAAAAACTAATTTTGGTTATTTTAGATTGCCGTGACACGTTTTAAACAATTTTTGACACTTTCGATCTTCCCTAGAAGGTAAAGGCATATGAAGATAGGGACAGATACGCATCAGTACATTAGAATGACACTCAATGCCATGATATAGTGCAATATCTTATGTCATTTTAGGAAATTGTAAGCCATGACAAAGATTACTTCAGTCAGGTTTTAACAGATCTTACCAAGGTCTTTATGCATAACTGCTGTGAAAGAGCTAAATGGATATCATGGAGCTCACAGACATTTACAGCTATGCTGTAGATTTCACCATGAGAGCAAATTAATGAGGGGTAGTAAAATTAATGGACAGGAAATTGTGTTTAGGGGCTCTCTGGGGCATGTAAACTAAGGTTGTGGGAAGAAAACATAATAAGATTCTCTACAAAATTGTGTTATCCATCCAGAAATATTAATCTTTTACTTTTAATCATTCCATTTGGCAGATACTTTGGGATGACTACTTTCAAATGAGTATACTGGAAGTTCTCATCAACAGATTTAAGTGGCTCATTGGTTAAGTGGAAAGAAATATATAAAAAAAAAAGGACAAATAAATAGTTTCATGATGGGACTAAAATGTTCTAGCAGTGGTGACATCACAGAAAACAAAACAAAATTGGTGCTCTCTATGGGCCCGTTCTAGTATTCTAGTACCTTTTAACAGAAAGACTTTCTTTCATGTTTAACAAGAAAATCCTAAAGAGCTAAGGAGAGAAATAGGCCTAAAGACATAAAATAAACCCTTTTTTTTATTTCACCAATTAGCAAATTATACAGTATGGACTTGCATCATGGCATTGCTTGTTGACAAAGCTTATAATAGACTAATCTCTGATGTTAGAATTAGTTTGTTTTTTTATATCAAGGGTTGTAATTTGGAACCGCCTCAAGGCTTAAGAGGTTGCCGCTATGTTTAATAAAATATCAGTCGGATAAAATAAAGCCCATTTACAGTGCATATTGAATGCAAATTAGAGACACACAATGGACACTATTTCTGCCAGCATGTTCTCCAGGACTGACACAGTAGAGAAAGAAATATGTTGCAAGCCAGAATTCTATACATGTCAGGGGACATCCCCTTTTCTGAGAGAAACTGACACACAGCCCTGGCAAAAGCTTTGATGCAAAGACAAGGCTCAAATATACATGCCAGACTGCGTGAGTTTGCAGATAAATCCCCACAACAAGGGCTTGTCTCAACAAGGATTTATGAGAAATACTCGCTGGCTCATTTCCCATATGTAGATGAGAAAAGAACATACAATATGATTAAAAATAGATTAAATGGACGAATGTTCCATTATGTAACTAAGATTTTGCATTAAATAATATTTATGTTTTCAGACCCACATCTTGCCTTCATTTAGCACTCCATCACTGCACCCATAGAGCTCTGATTTACAGCCTCAATGTCTGAGAAAACAAATGTGTGCTTGGTAGTCTAGAGTTTGATCAGGATTTATGCCCTTGGTCAGACATATACACATACCATGCCACCCAGGTTTAGTCTCTATCATGTTGTGCTGGTATTATCGCATGAGGTATCCACAGAACGTATTTGTAAGTATTATATCTGTGAATAAAAAAATGTCACAGTGTCAAAATTGAGATATTTCCATGTTTCCTCTATTCCCTGAGCTTCATTTTTAGCTCATGACTGCTCATACTTGTTTGCTTGTGCGCTAATCTCATTTCAGCTTTTCAGGCCAGCCGAAGGGAGAATTTGAGCAACGGCAGCAAAGCGAGAGAGCCACAGCTGACCACAGTGACGTAAGCTGCACTGACTGGCCTGACCAACGCTGCGTGCATGTACACACATTCACACACACATCCTCTCACTCACCTATACCCACATTTCCACGGGGGGAATTAACCATCAATGGCTCCTCAGTGTGAGTGTGTGTGTGTGTGTGTGTGTGTGTGTGTGTGTGTGTGTGTGTGTGTGTGTGTGTGTGAGTGAGTGAGTGTGTGAGAACGAAAGAGACAGAGTAACCTATGCTTGCCAGTTGCAGCTGTAGCTCCAAGCATTTAAGGGACAGACTGTCATTTTCCAGTTCTAATTTAAAAATAAGTTCATACACGCTGTAAGATTTAATGCTTTAATGTATTAAATGTTAAGTATGAAAAAATAGGTTAATAGGAAAAGTAATTTATTCAATGATCATATTACAAGTTAAGATGTTTCATTCATTTCAGGCTTGGAAATGTTTCAGGATCATGCTTCGTGCAACATTAAATGTATCTAACAACAATGCAATGACAGATGCCAACTAATCTTATGTGTTAGAATGAGATAATGTTACAAATATAAATTAAAGTTTTGATTTTAATTTAACCCAACCACAAAATATTACCCAGAAGGATAACTGATCCAGTTTGCATATTACAGAGAATATATCATAATTTAAAATTCCATTTCGAAGATGTTCTACCCATTAAACCTATCATGGTCCTCTGGATCTCTAACTACATAATGACGCTACACCTCTCTTACGCTGACCTGCTGACAGCTCCAATTAAGCTTCCCATATTGCTTCTAGCGAAGCCCAGCTCGCCCACCCCCCGCTGCCATTTCACCAGCAATCAAATAACAACCTGGAAAAGTCGAACAAAACGATCTCGTGATTTTCACATGAATAGTTTTGATTGCACTGCTCAACTCACATTCACAGTCCTGCGCAGAAAGATCGTCAGCCGGTCACCTGAGCAACAACTGATTGAATCATCCAGACTGCTCAGAGGCAAACGCCTTCACAAATCATCCACAAAGGTGACGTGTTGAGGGGTCAAAGACAATACATCCTTGAGAGGATGTGAAAATGCTTGCATAACATATCCCCTGTTCACCTCAGCATCAGTGACACTGACATGTTCAACTGCCATAATTCACATGATTTGTTCAGTTCAGTGAGCTTTTCCCATCATAACGAGGATATGTCCCACTAAGCAGCAGGACAGAAATGGTTACAGACACTCACAGACTCAGACACACAAAGACAAAAGCAAGATGTGTAGTACTAACAGCAGATTTTCATCTCAGACTTTTTGTTAAAATGATCACTTTACTCCTGCACTCACTTCAAGAGTATTTTCTTTCAGCAGCTTTTGCTCACTAACGAGTAGTTTTAGCTAACATTTCCTGTCAGTAAACAGTCGGCACAAAGGAGCAAATATCTTTCTTCTCCGTAATGCAGTCACACAGGGTCAGATTATTAAGGTCACATTATGAGGGGATAAGAATAAAAAGGGAGAGGGAGACATGTTGAGAGAGAGGGATTTGCTGTACTTTCTTCGAGGGGCTTGTGAACCATATGTTCAGCCCTGGGACACGAGGGGCTCAGCAAGAGCCCAGAGACACACCAACACACTGACACATGGGTAGCAGGCTGCAAACTGTGTGCGGGGGTCAGGCGTGTGGAGGAAGTGCACCATTACTAGAAAACTGTCCACGGTTAGAAACAAGGAGCCAAGTTGAGTTTAATTGAAAGCTTCAGTTCAGAAGTGTGCATGCTCAGCTTGAATATCACTCAACTGCAGCACAATTGATGAGCTGTCCAATGATGTTAGTTCTCATTATTTTACAATATGTAAATGAGATATAAATGACACAGCAAAAACACAGTCCAGGTTTAGCTTTCAGACGCAGGAGTTTCTGATTCATTCTTGAATACATTAAAGCCCATAAAGATAGATTTACTGGCACAATGGACAGGTTAAAGACTGGAAGACAGTCATACAACAGCTTGGAAGCGTTCTATGACGTGTTCCTTTTTCTTTTTTGTTAAAGAATATAACATTTTAGGAAATATTCTTATGTGCATTCGGGCAGAGTTAGATGAGAAGACTGAAACTACTCTTATGTCTGTATAGTAAATATGAACCAGCATACTGCAGCTCATTGGCTTAGAGGTTGCACAAAGATGAGAAACAGGGAAGCTAGAGGAACAAGAAATCGTCTGGTACATAACCCCCTGGTAAATTGGCAAACTAACGTTTTTAAGCTTCAGTCTATGCACATAATGAATAGATGAGATGCAATATGTTGATTAATGAGCTTTAGAGGTGCTGGTAGGTGAATTCTGTTACCGCTAGACAGAGTTGGGCTAGTGGTTTCTGCCTGTTTCCAGTCTTGGGGAGCTAAGTTAACCAGCTGCTAATAGTAGCTTCATATTTAACATACAGACATGAGAATGGTATCAATCTCTTAACTCTCAGACAGAAAGCAAACAAGCTTATTTCCCAAAATGTTAAACTAGTCCTTTAATTGAAAAGAAATCCTAGGCATGTACTCAAGCGCAGCTTTGCAGCGTTTTCCAGTTTTAAAATTGAAAGTATGCCAAGCACATCTAGAAGATTCAGAGGTAAAGTGAAAAACAGAGAGTGAGCACTGAAGCAAAAGAACAATCCCCTGAGATCTCTGTAAGAAAGAAAGAGGTGGATGATGGAGAAAGCACAGGCAGTGAGAGGGAGAGGGAGAGAGAAGGAGTTTTGCCTCCAAGCCTCGGCACAGAGGAGGATCAAAGGTTTGTGCTCTGCATCACAATGGACATCCGGTCACCAATACTGATGAGCCCGGGTGTGTGATGCTCCATTCACAGGCCTGATATCTTATGGGTAAACAAGTGGTCATTGCATGGAATTCAATGGACGTCTTTGCGCCACGTTATCTGACTATACAGTTATCTGCAGTGATGTCATTTGTGGAAATCAAAATTAAAAGTAAAGGATATTAGAAACTAAACTGAAATTTTTTTTTTTTTATCAGTGTTAAGGACAGATTACTTTGATCTACTCATAGTACACCTGCAGATCTATATCATCCTACAGTGTCACTAAAAGGAATTTAACACAGCTAAAGTCTCCTGATATGACGGCAATTCTTAAAACTAGAATCATTTTTGTATCTAATTATACATTAGCTTATTTCTGGAAACTGACATTTACTGCCAATGAATTGGCAACAATTCATTCTGTCCCTGCTATAACTGAGAATCTGCCCTGTCTTAGTCTTAAATGCAATACGCTGTGCAGTGTGTTTACTGATATCACTCTGAAAGGTGTTTACTCTACATTTTATAGGTGCAGCAGTGTTTTATGCACACATCCTTGACAGTTTCTGTGCTACATAATGCAAACCGACATTCGGTTTAAGCTGCTGCATACAGTGCACAGCATGAAATGATTACTGTATTCTGCACACTAACTGGGAAGACAGTTAGCCAAACTAACCACTGCAAAATCTGGTAAACATGCTGTCAAATATAAACCCACTGAGGGAATGTTTACCAGAACATTGCTTTTTGTGCCAGTTGGGGGTCTTAAATACATATTTATTTTGCAGCAATAATAGTCAAAGAGTCCATCAATAACAAACTTACAAAAGCTTATAATACGATTAATTAATTTAATAATAAAATAATTTGGGCAATTATTTCAATTATATCTTGTGCTTGAGTTAAGGAATGTTATGTGAATTGGATTGGAAAAACAAAGGCCTGCTTCTGTTCATAAATAAATAAAAATAAATAACATTGTGTTCAGTGCTTTGGCAACTGTCCAGTGTGTTTAACATTATTTTAAGGAGTAGGACAAAAAAAGGACACATCACTTTACATGACTGTGGTGTACTGTATCTCAGCCTTGATCTTCTACCCTTTAACATTTCCAGGTTGAAACAGCATGCCAACTGCTGCTGTGATGTTCAGAGGATTTTTCCCAGATTATGGTCATTACTGTAATACTCTTTTTATATGTTATCTAATGTAGATATGCTTTGTGAATGTGGTAGTGTTGTACAGTATTAAACTATCCACACATCTTGGAAAAATTGGAATCTGCAGTGCAACCTGTTCTACTAAGACATATCTTCCTCAGTTACGAATCCTTTATGTTGAAAATAATGATAGATCCAGCATGAACTGTCAAAGTGCTGTGTTATTTGAGAGAATGCATATGCTATTTTTGTTCTTGGGTGTCTTCTGTTTTCATACTTATCAGATGACTTGAGTGCTGTAATGTCTCACTATCAGTGAATGACAATGGCATAAACAGTTTTAATTGAAGACAGAAAAGGCAGTGTAAATGTCACACTTTGAATGATTTAGAATTAAAGAACTTCACAAATGAAAAAATAAATTAAGTAATAAATAAAACTGACAAATACATCAGAATCAGAATTCAGTGTGTACTTGGATTAGAACCTATATAATGTCCACATCCAAGCTTTTAATGGTGTAACAATCTTGAAAATGTGGTTTATTCTCTAAATAGCTAAAGTGATGAAGATTTCAGCATTACCTCTCATTAGTGTATTTGTCTGTCACAGATGGTTGTAAATCCTCTGCTGAAACACTCGTGACCTCCGGTGGGATTCTGTCCCCTTAACTTGAGAGCCTATTAATTGTCTGCAATTATCCTTTGCAAACATGGCATCTGTCAGAAGTATCTCTTCTCTTCCCACATGGATAGAAATGCCATAGTGGTAAAGGTTGACTGCGACATTCACTATTTATTGCACAGTAGGGCTTGTACAGTCCAAATTTGCAATCACAGCTCTGTTTTACACAACCCCTCACAACTCCCATTCAATGTTTTCGAAGGGCAACATTTGACTTTTGTTGAAAAAACAGCTTGCATACAGTAAATTAACGAAGACAGTGCCTTGTCTTGGTTCTATTTATGGACAAACGGAATAATGAGACATTTGTAAACTAGCTTGTTTGATTACTTTGTGTTTAAAGTGTGCTGTTCTGCAACATTGGGGAATCATCCATAGCTCCCTCGGTGCATTCAAAATATTTAAAGTTTAGTGCAAATTTGAAGAAACAAAAGTACAGAAACGAAACCAACAAACTAAGGAAATTATAAGGCAACAATTATAAATATATCAAAAATAGTCATTAGAGAACTATCTTTGTTACAAAAAAGGTACAAAAGTTTTGTCCTGTACCAGTGAGAGAGACATATTTTTCAGTTCCTCTACTGATTTCACAGCCTTGTATCCCAGCTGGTGAAGTACTTTCTGACACACAGTCTGTGTGTATTCTACCATGTCATAAGACAGTTTCAAACGCCAACTCTCTGCATTAGCTGCTGAGTCCCTCACAGTACCAAACTTGTGTTTAGCTGAGGGCTCATTGCTGCCCCGAGTGTTTGCATGTATCCAGTCTTCCACATTTTTATCCATAGGCAGCCCCAGGTAGTCGTAGATCTCCTTTGTCTTGAGAAGCGGATTTCTAGCTAAATCCTCATAGCGAACCAACATGTACTTCCCTTTTAGCCAATAGGGATGGCTGAGTCCAGTTGAAACAGAACTGAGGAAGTCTTCACAGACAACTGTGAGCTGACTCAAGTCTAGATTATAGGGTCTTCGACCCGTGGCCCTCCAAATACGCCACAGGCGATACGTATCTCTGAATGTCTCAATCCGTGATGACAGGATACCACGCGGGTCTCTGACAAGTTGAATGACTTTGATACTCAGCCGTGGGTCTTCCACCAAAGCGCGTAGATCTCCAATCTCTGGCACCCGGACAATTTTGATTGCCACGTGTCGCTTCTCACGGCATGCCTCCGTTGCTAAGGTCATGTTTAGAGTCGCACATTTCTTGACACAGTCCCCTTCCTCCACATTAACATCAGCAGGACCGAAGGCATCACATACAGGTTGCTGGCACAATGCTCGGCTGGCACCACGACGGAAAAGTTTATCTGTGGTGTGGTTCGTGGGCGTCGGCTTAATGTAGCTCTCCAGGAAATAGAGGTCGCAACCGTACAGGCTACGAAGGAGATCTCGACTGGCGCCCAGCATCACACGCCGGTCTGCAGCATTGCGGCTGTGTGACAGACGTGGAATCAGTGTAGTCTGAACATGATAAAGAGGCTCAAACAGGTAAAATACATCCTGGTGCTGGTTGAGCAGCTGGCCAACAAAGGAGGAGCCGCTACGAGTGGTGGCCAGGACTAGTATGTGCGTTTTACGTGTGGCATTGATGGAAAAGTAAGGGTAGTCATCGCAGCCTCCACCGCCTGCTGCTCCACGCTCAAAGGGAGGTTCTGTCTCCTGGCCCCCCAGACCACAGTTTTGGGGGCTGGGCAGCGGGCACAGCTGGAAAGGCTTGGAGGTAAGTGTCCGGATGGCCGTGTACTGGATGGCGATGGAGGCCAAGGCCAGCAGAATCACTGCCTTCCAGGAACATTGCATGGCTGAACCACTTCATTTAGACACAGCGGTCCATGCCAGGTCCTCCCTGTGAACAAAGAATTTTTTGTCTTTTTATTCTTAGAAATGATTTTATTTCTTATTTCATTGGGTCCAACAGTTCTGTGAATATCTTTTTTACATGTTTTAACCAAAGGTCTACAGGGTAGATCATCTACTGCCCTAAAATGACATATTTGACAATACAATGGTGGCACACAGTACAGTGGATAAATCTCAATGAAATTTAATTTTAATATTCCAATTAACAGCAGGACAACTTGTATTGTGATTGATTTTGGAATTGAGGGTGAGTCATCAGTGCGTTGAATAATACGCACGCTACATTTTAGTTGCGATTCCAGGGCAAAAAGGCTGTATTTTCATTCACTTTGGTACTTCTGTTGAAGGCAGGGTTGAAGACTAACTATATACTGATTAAGAAAAGAACAAGAGCAGTCCTTGATAAAGATTGCTGTAGCCATGAGACAGAATCCTGTGACTTAATCTTTCCATTTGTCTCCCGTTTCTCCTTCCGGTGCTACAGCCTAATTTTTGAATTAAAATAGATAAAGAAGAGAGTTCTGAGTCCGTAATTTCTGGTTCCTATCCAATCAACTGACACTAACTGCCAAAACCATGTACAGCAGTCTGAGACCCCAGACCACAGTGGAATGGAAGCATAAAACAGGCTGTATACAGTATCTAAAAATGTCAAGGCACACATTTTTTGTTTGTACCAATGTTTAAAAATAGCTTTTACTGAATATATAAAAAATGATTCTACATATATGTCTGTAACATGCTTTATGGGTTAAAAATGCACCAAAACTTACCATATAATCATTATTAGGGACACAAAATACTTCACCAAGTATACTATAATACCAATGATTCTGCTGTGCACACAATAACTCCACCCTGGCTCTCTATTCTAACTTGTCTGCATCTAATTCAAGGACCTTGTTTAGCCTGATTGGCGAGTATTCCACTTGTTCATCAGAGAAACAGAAAGTCTAATCCAGCCCAGAAAGGTAAACAGTAGTTTAAAGCTCCACACCCAATGTCATGCCAAGGGGAAATTATGCTGCAAGTGAATAATTAGATAGGAAACTTCCCATTCGGGGTTTGATTCATTTTAAAATAATACTGTAGTAGCACACAGGGGGGCCTTGATGCAGGGAGCATTGATGGTGCAAGTAAAATAAAGGCTCAACATCATCACTTCAGAAGCCATTCATGAGACTTGTAAGGTCCAGAAAAGAAATGATGCATCGGGTTATCTTTTCTAACTCCAAAGCACAATGTGGAGGAAGGCTTTAAGAAATAAACATCTGAGAAGAAAAATAAAATCCCAGAATTGTTTTTATAAAAGCAGATAAAGATCTATTTGCCTCGCACTGCATGCCAGAGACTACAGCCTTCTGTTTGTGTGATGGAGCTGATGTTGCTTTATACTCTAACAATACAAAATACTGACTTCTATCGCCACTCAAACGACTTATGTTCATAGAGAGCACCGGTGCTTTTTTTTGTTTTACTATATAGACATTTGGAATGAAAAAGCTCACTATACTGCAGCGGGAACAGGTTAGGCTGCCTGACAGAGATTTTCCGCGATGCAGACAGCCTCACCAATGCTGCGATAAGACAACATAGCACAAATGAACGCATCCCACCCAGCCGCAAGTACTCAAAAAAATAATAATAATAAAATACTGTATGGAATAAAGCCTACATCATCCAATTTGGTAAAATCACAGTAATATTATGTAGTAAATTCCTACTTGTTTTCGCTATACCTTGTTGGTAGTTGTAGTATTCTCATGATGCGCTGTACGTCCATGAATCTCGGCTGCTTTCCTTTAGTCCTCAAACGTTTCCCACCGTGCGCTTCCTCCCGGGCAGGAGAGAATTAATGCGCCTGGCAGACCCGTATTTTCCATATAACGATGGTACGAGTCGGTTTAAGTTGAACGGTTGGTTTTAGACTCAGGGAGATAAAGAAGAGGAAAAAGTGGAGGAGTAACGCTGAAGCGGTTGTGTTTTTATTACGCAGCCAGGCGGCGAGACTGACCGGGAGAAGCGACAGCCGGGCTCCCCTTAAATGATGCGCAGAGGCTGAGAGTGTGTGAGGTACACAAGGACCGACTGTCTGGACCACCCCAGACCCCTCCCCCTTTCCACCTGCCTCCCTCTCCCTCCCTTTCTCTTTCTCTTTCTCTCTCTCTCTCTTTCTCTCTCTCACTCTCCCTCCCTCTTTCTCTCTCTCACTCTCCCTCCCTTTCTCTTTCTCTTTCTCTCTCTCTCCCTCCCTCTTTCTCTTTCTCTCTCTCTCCCTCCCTCTTTCTCTTTCTCTCTCTCTCTCTCTCTCTCTCTCTCTCACACACATCATCATCATCCTCAGAGTCTCTTGCCTGCCACATCACACACTCACAGACCCCCCCCCTTCCCTCTTTATACACACAAGCAAATCAGCTCTTTTCACGCAGCCAATGTGGCAGCAAGTTCACAATGATTCCATCAACCTTTTTTTTTTTTCCAATTTGAATTGTATGCAAATGTTTGATTGACTACTACTTTTTTCCCTTCATGAAGGTTGGTGCTGCAGAATTTCCTGCATCCTCCTATTTTAGTTCACTTATCTTAGTTGTCTGTCTGATTCTATTCAGAAAGGAGCAGGCGTGCCAGTTCGGGGAATTTGATGGCAGAAAATCTCTCCCCTGACTTTGACGTGAACTCCTCACATCAACTTCACCGCCTCGGGCTCTGTGATTCTGCAAAGCCCTTTCTCCAGGGCATCTGCAACCCAGTTACTGATACAGGAGTGGGTGGGCCGATAATGAACATGATATGAGTGTGCAAAATGCACAAAGGAAGATGGACTAAAAAACTAAGCTAAAGCTTTAGAAAATGAGTGAAGAAACGGGTGCACAAATAATAAAACACTCAAACATGCTGAAGACAATCCTGTCCTCAACTCTATGGTAATCATGTGCAAGCGTTTTAGCTTAGGCTGCAGTTATAATGAGGGGTTAAAAATCCAACTCAGTAGTCCAAATAATAAATTATACTACTTTTTAATAAGACGCTTCATAAAGGGCTTATGAGTTGCAATTAATGGCTAGTAAATCACATTATAAATAATTGAGCAATTAATAAGAACAAATTCTGGTTTGCCAGTTTGGGAAAAGTCTCAGTGTTCATCCTCCTCCAGCAAGAGACTTGCTTTATTTTATTGTTCATTAGTTCATCTAGTAGACCACTTCAGTGGGCTGTTAGGCCAGTGACCTTCTGGATGAGCGCTGCAGAGCATTTAGACCAAAATCCATAATTAACAACTTCTTGAAATTTTAAATTAAGGACTTGAGGGATTGTTGCAAAACACTTAATATTAACATTCATTATCACAGTTGACTTACTAACTTCTGCTGTTGGCTAAATAGAACATTATAAATATGTGACTTTTATTTATGACTTATTAACGTTTACAACTGCAGACAGGGTGGTTTATAAGAAAACTGAGATACCCATTACCCTTTATTATGGATATTAATGACTTCACTATTAATGACTTAACGGTCACAGGGATTTTTCACAACCTGACAACCCAAAAACTGTTTTTTTGAATAGCTTCAAGCAGAAAGAATGAGTCAATGATTTTATTACAACTTATAAACCCTTTACAAAGATCACCATTATGTGGTTGACATATGTGGTTCTTTGTAGCACATTTGATTTGTCCTGGGTCCATAATGAAAAATGTATTGTGCTTCTTGGGTGGCAAATTTCTCTCAAATATCAACATCCCTAGGAAAGCCATTATATTTTCTAATTTTCACTACTTAGCATTGTAGAGTTTTAAGAGGGTTCCTTCAACCAAAAGGGCGACAGAATGTTAAATTAGCCATGAAATGAAAAGACCACGATAATAGTGAAATATATCCAAAGAATGATGATGAGAAAAAAAAAAGAAAACTAGCATCGATATGGATCTACACATTTGTTTTTCTCATGGTTATATATTGACTCTTTTACAACACAGTTTCTCCTTTCTGCTCTATCAGTTCTCTAGTGGATGTTTTCCACTAGTCTAAAATCTCCCACCACAAGACTGAGCCCGTGAGATGCAGTCTGGATTTGCAAGTCAGGGAAACTGGACAATTTTGAGGAACTTGTGAATCCAACAGACAGTCTATTATGATGGAGGACCACAGGGAATTGGTTCCTCATTTCTCTGGCAGAGGTCAGTGAGGTAGTTAAAAAGCTCTGAAGTGGGATGGTGAGATATCGAGATCCACCCTGAGATGCAGAAGGCTCTGGGTGTTGACGAGCTGTAGCAGCTGACGCGTCACCAATTCCATTTCACACAGATGTCAAACAGACTTGTGAAGCCAACCTGAATTATAGCAAATTCTGTTTTTTTTTTAAAGATTTTAGTCTGGAAAACTTCCAGTAAGAACTGAAACTATGGTGAGCGGTTTAGAGACGATGACTTGACTCACAAACTCTTCAGCTGTGGCTGTTTTTAAACCAGATTTTGAATCAGACAGTAGTGTGGTGGCAGACACTAACATATTCAAAAAGTAATGTAACATATTTAACTCATTTTTTGATAAACAGTATAGCTTCCCCAAATGTATTTACAAGTGGTGTAGTAAATATTTAGATCCTTTACTTTAATAACATAGCAATACCATAATGAAAACTAGTAACAGTTCTATCATCACTGTCTATTTATCTCAAAATTTAGTGACTTTGAATTTTTAGACAAACTCATGGGAAAACTCAGGTAACTCAAAACTTTACAAAAGTACAACCACTAAGTTATTAGGTTGCACCACTGGCAATATGGTTTACTGGCACAATTAAAGGCAATCTTCTGCCCCAGCAGGTACTTTTAATTTCATATCTCTTTTTTCATGTTTACAGTCTTATTTATTTGCCCTTGCGTGGATGCTCCACTAAGTTGCCCGTGCATTGTCTTAACCTTGCAGCTGAAAGGCCCCATGGATATTCTTATATAGTGCCACAGGGAGGCCAGCGAAGCAGCAACTATACAGCTTTGATTCCATGGCTGTCCCCAGATCGTTGATGTCAATGAACCCAGCTTGTGGAAGCCTTGTCAAGGGACACATTACCACACTGAAGCTGGGCATCTGCAGCAGTGCGATAGCCTTTCAGTGCATTATCACGTAAGGCTATTCTTCTTGAGCATGCTACAAAAGGATTTGTAATAGATTCATAACACGGCAGGCTAAATAATGTGTGTGTGTGTGTGTGTGTGTGTGTGTGTGTGTGTGTGTGTGTGTGTGTGTGTGTGTGTGTGTGTGTGGGGGGTGTGGCTGTTCCTGCCTCCGTCATCTTTATGCCAGTATACACATGGTGACAGAAGCTGGGTTTTTATGCCTGGCATTTTTCATTCACAACCTGGAACTCTGTGCGCACAAGGATTTCAAGGGATTGTTCTTATTGACAAAATAGGAGGAGGCAGAACACAGAGCATCTCCAAAAACCTGTGCTATTGGTCTAGCATCTGGAAATATTTAAAATATAATGATCTTTATAATGTATTTGCTGTTACTGCAGTGGATATATTTACTTCCTAATGCACTGAAAAAATAGGTACATTTAAAGAGAGGTACCTCCACCCACAGATTTGGCAAATATCTGAGTGTTTACTAGAAAGAACAGAAGGCTGTTTACATTATTATTTACCATTAATATTTACAATACACAAGTTTACATTCTGGAGATACAAGGATTCCACCAGACGGTACCAGAGTGATTTTCCAAGACAGCCACTCAGCAACACAGTTGTTAATTGAGCTGCACATAATCTATTGAAATGAACATTATTTGCTGTTGCAGAGGAAAAGTCAAATACCATTAATTATCTCATGCTGTCCTTCCTATTACAGCACAATGCGCCTTGGTTAAACTGTAAATGTCACAGACTACAAACATTTGGATATAACAATATCACAGGGTTTCCAACTAAGCTAAGTTATAGAGGCAGCAGAGTGGTCCCTCTAGCATGCTGTTACGACCTTGGGTGCCCTGTACTTTCTAGTTAATAGTCCCCAAAATCATGCAAGGCACAATAAAACTACCTAAATGTACTGCAACCACCACAAGAAGTGTGATCCTGGGTCACAGCCTACTGTTACCACCACAAACATTTGGGGGTATTGGAGAGCTGATGAGGCTGGTTCCTCTTCCATCAGACAAGTTAATCAATGGTATTGTTGGAAAAAGCAGAGCAGTGATTTGTTAAAAAGCCCTTTAATCATTCTCATTAAGAAAGTTTTGAAAGAGAGCAGAAAGCAAGTCAAGCGAGGACCGGGGAGCAGTGTGCACAGACTAGCGTGCAAGTTAACTATTGACACTCAATTCCTGTGCACAGCTGCACACATTTTTTTTTTCTTTCTCTGACCTCTCAGTTTTCTGTCTGTGTGCCTGACAAGCTCATCTGTGCCCTCAGCATCTTTGCAGATGCTCTCACTTCGCTGTATGTGCCCTGAAGATACATTCACTGCACGTGTGGCTTTATGAACTGCATGCTCAATATTAAGAAACTACAATGATGCCATAGAATTATAACTGGTCAAATGATGAGGTAATGATGTTCCATTCCAAAGAGCAAGGATAATTAGTTTATATATACTGAAGGTTTCTTATTAGGCTATGTTTACACTGCAAGCATGGCCAAAATCAGATATTTAGTTCTCATATGTGACTCACATCTTTTTTGCATTACAGTGTGAACAGCACACAGCACATGGAATCTGATCTTTTCATTTTTCCTTTGGGACTCTTTCACATGTGGTCCAAATCTGATAGAGGTCTGCAATGTGACCTCAGTGTGAACAGTCATATCAGAGTTCACTTTTATGTCACTCTATATAGACATTCACCTTGGTCACCTCAGGACTGCGACCTGTTTACACTGGAATCTGACATGGACCGCATTTAAAAAATAATGTGAACAGCCAAACAAACAAACAAACAAAAAAAATACAAATTATACGAGCAATAATGAGAATTGAGCGCTAAGGCTTGCATTGTGAACGTAGCCGTAGATACAAATACAGAGAAATGGCTGCTTAACTGATTGATAATGTTTGTTACTTTTCAGTCTAATTTCAGTCATTCTATCCAATGC